CAGGGACTGTCTCTGACATGAACTGATTGGCCTGCTCTTTAATTACCTCCCCATGAGGGGGAAGCAGCATTACCAGGCCACAGAAGAAGACAATGCAGCCACTCCTATGAGACCTAATTGACTAGGATCAGAATGAAGGAAAAGAAGACCTCCCCATCAGTGGACTTGGGGAGGGGCATGCATTCAGAGGGTGGAGGAAGGGAGGGAACCACAGGGGTTCCACTTTATACAAAGTGAATAAAGTGTAATTAATAAAGAATTTTAAAAAATGAAAAAAAAACCAGTTTCACAAGGAAATATAAAAGGAACTAATTAATAAAAGCAGAGATGTTGTTTAGGAGCAGGTTTCTTGCCTCATTCCTATGTTTCCCTGACATATTCTGGCCTTGCACAGTGAAGAGAGTATGTGGACATTTCTAGTGTGTGGGGTGAGCAATAGCCTACTTTGCCTTGGCTCCAGGGTCTGACTCCTGCACCATGGATGAAGTGAAAGGGTGCATGTCAATGTAGACAATTTAATTTTTTATGTATTTTATGTATGTGAGTGCTCTATTTGCATGCATGCCTGCTTGAAAGAAGAGGGCATCAGACCCCATTATGATGGTTCTGAGCCAGGATGCTTTGGAAGTGTATCCACTGCTCTTAAGGGCTGAGTCATCTCTCCAGCCACAAGATCCTCAATGTAGAAATCACATGTGGATAGAGAATCACAAGTATTTAGGTGTCTACCAAACATAAAACCTTACACATTTGGTATCATTTTTAAAGCTTTAGGTTTCAAGTGTATTGTGTATATTCTGTTTTCTTTTTTCCTTTCAGATAGTCACTGCATAGATTTGGCAAAGTAATAATCATATCCTGAGTCCCACCCAATCAGGTCTGGATTCATTTCACCTGACAGATTGCGTACCTATCCATTACTTGAGTCTGTGAACCCCATTAAATAGGGTATAAGAATACATAGATGTTATGCCCCCCCAGTCTGCCAGTAGAGATGACAGAGCAGAAATTAAGTTTTCATCCTAGCTACTTAGTCTGAAAACCTACTTTGAAAATTCAAGAAACTTCCTCTTGATGTGGAGCCAGAGTCCCTCAACATTTTCATTCTGGTCTTTCTTGACTTCATCTTATTCCTGCTCAGTGATGGAGTAAAAGCTGTAAACAAGACAGAAAAGTTATGTTTTAACAGTAAATGTGTTTGTGGACCTGACGAGTCAATTTTCTAGGTAGTTTTATTTCAATTTGATACAGCCAAGAATCATTTGGGGGGGGACTCAAATAAGAATATGCCCTACCTCACTATCCTGTGTGCCAGCCTGTGGTGCATTTTCTTAATTGGTGGTTGATATGGGAGATCCCAGGCCATTGTGGATGGGGTAACTGTGAGCTTGTGGTCCTGGATGTTATCAGAAAGCAGGCTGAGAATGTCTTGAGGAGCAAGCCAGCAATCAACATTCCTTTAAGGCTTTTCTATCAGTATTTGTCTCTAGGTCCCTATCCCTAGTTCCTACTTTGACTTCCTTCAGTGAACTTAAAAGCTGTGAGGTAAAACAAACCGGCTCCTCTCCGGTTACTCTTGGTCATGGCCTTTGTCACACCAGTTGAAATTTGAGTGACATGAAGTTATTATGTTGAGTTGAGGCTTTCTGCCAACTGGACTATCTGCAAGCTTAAGTGCAATACACCCAGGGATTTGGCAAGCCTGATTGCTAATTCAAGGTTGGAATCATAGTTGTAGTGTTATGTTGGTACTCCGTGGGGTAGTAGGAATTTTATTTATGTCTCCTAAGATAAAGTTTACTTAATAAGATTGAACAAAATCTTACAGCCAGAGAGGAACAATCCCAGCCTAATATTTGGATCTGAAATATTTTTTCCTCATATTTATTATATCTATCATCTACCTATCTGTCTATGTATCTATCCATGTACCTATCTACCTTTGAATCATATATGTATCTATGTATCGATTAATCTACCTATCTATTCAATCTATCTTTCTATCATTTTGTATGTATGTATGTAGGAATGCATCTATCTGTCTGTCTGTCTATCTAACTAACTATCTCTACTGGCTAGTTTTGTGTGTTAAGTTGACAGAAACTAGAATCCTGAGAGAGGAAGGAGCTCCATTTGAGGAAATGCCTCCATAGTATCCTTCTGTAATGTCTTTGAAGAGTTTAAGTTAGCTAGGTGATGCCATTTTGAAATGGGGAGACATCTTGACCAGGAGCTGAACTCAGGTACCAGAAAATATCACAGCATGTGCACTTGGCAGAAAACAAAGTTAACTCTCCTAGCAACAGCCTCCAAGAAATATCACAGTATAAATACTTGATAGAAAATAGAGATAATCTCCCTGGCAATAAACAATGAGAATCAGTTGGGAAAATTCTCCCCAACATTCCAGGTGTAGTTTAGAAGAATGGCAATTGTGATTATGTAGAAGGTCACCTCACCCCTATGGTTTTTACCCCATCTTGTAAGGTCAAGGCATGAACCCCCCCATGTTGTCATGCAAACTCCCTGCTGTGGTTTTTCCCTTTAAAAACCCTGCTCTCCCAGGGTTCGGGGTCCCACTTCTCTACTGCTGTATCAGTGAGACTTGGGTCCCAAGTTTGATTGCTCTTGTAATATAGCTCTCTTGCTCTTACATGCAGTCATCTCCTGGTGGTCTCTGAGGGTCTCATGATCCTGGCATAACATTTGGTTCCCTGAC